CCCCCCCCCAAATCCAATCCGGAAATAATCACGCCGTAAGACTCAGCCACTGTTTCCTTATATTTTCTTCTATTTTTCTCTTGTTCTCATTTTCTCTCTTTTTCTGTGCCAGATGGCCTTGTTTCTGCTTGCGTTGTGAAGTACCAAGATTGAACCAAGGGGGTGTACCTCATTCTCTCCGGCCCGTGATGGTAACCCCTAGTCTCAGTTGATACCTCGCATAGCGCGCAGAGGGAGTGGAGGACTCCAGAATATCTGTCGTTGATTTCTATTGACTTGCGGACTCCTCGGGGCTATTATATTTGATTGTACCTTTTTAGGGTAAGTTAGCCTGCGACCACGGGAATCGACCGCGTCGAGTGTTGTATCAGTACGGACATATGAAGGTACTGGGTAGATAGAGAGAGATCGGAACGGTTTTAAATGTGAAGACAACAACAACAACAACAACAAGTTCCTCCAAAGAACCTGAGCTCCTTGCCACACAAAGGGTGACTTGGCTTCAGTACGAAAAGTGTCCCCAAAACACGTCGGGACACTTTTCATTCTGAAGCAAACTTCGCAAATTTTTCCAGCTTGTTATTTTTTTTTTCTTAATATGACACAACGAATCCATCTCTATGTAAGCAAAGAGTTGTTTGTTGTTGTTGTTGACTTCACAGAGTCCAAGACAGATTAATAGCAATGAATCCATAGCGTCAGTTTTGGGAACTGGGGGGCACGCGGATTGGGAGGTGTGTACAGCAAGGCAGACGCCCAAGAGAGGCATCACACAGCATAAATCACACAGCGTACCACCTCAGCCAAGCATGACAGACGAAGAGCTCTAACGTACGTTGTATACAGCAGCGGAGCCTAGGTTGACCACAGTGCGGTAAACAGGCCTTTGAGTGCCGTGTCCCAAAGTGTCTCCAAATCCTCCACAAAAAGGCTTCCAACCTACACTTATCTGTGGTAACACCCCGAAGGTTGATCTTCGACGGGTCATCTGACTTCATAATGTACGACAGTCTGAGGTGGCATTTACAGCCTGCTCGCTTCGCACACGACATGGACCATGCCTTCCTACGTGGTTGAGGAAGGTCTGATAGACCTCCCGGAGCTTTAGCAGCCACTCTAAATTTTCCGTTCCCACCGGGAAAAAATGTGGAAAGAATGGAACGGGTCGTGCGACACATCTGCGCTGTACAATGTACTGCTAGTAGAAGCGCAAGGAGCACTGCTGCCGCCTCTCTCACCATTTGACCCGGCAGATAAACAAGAAAAATTAACTGCACAGACTGGGACACACCCCTCGTCTGTGGTATTTTCTCGAAAGGGTATTTCTTTGATGGCATGTTGTTGTTGTTCTTCTTCACATTATAAATCCGCTCAGTACCTTTTAATGTCCGCACTGATCCAACTGACGCGGACCCCTTCCGTGGTCACAAACTATCTGCCTCAAAGGGGGTACACCTTTTCTAAATTAAAAACTGGACGCCAGAAAATTCCTCCTGTGCGCGATTTGTTTTTTCTACCCAAACGAAAAGAACAAAAAGGAAGCAACTAAGGAAAAGGTTCCTAACCGGGGTACAGGCGATCGACCCCGGTCAAAAAAAGGGATAATGGAACAAACTACAACGAAAAAGAGAAAAGAAACAGGGAAAACACAGAGACAGAGAGATAACGGAAACAAAGGCAATATAGATCGGAAGTTCCCTCGAAAACGCTCCATTCTACTACCGGAGGGGGGGTTAGCAACACGATAGGATAGCCATCTCCGTCCCGTTCTCTCCGGCTACATGTGCATATATAGACTATTATCTGAAAAATAAACAGCCAGAGCAGTTCCGGCCAAGTATCCTATTGAAACTCACCCTGCCGCATTCCGTCACTCTACACACGGAGGCGACAATGCACATAAACCGCAAGAACTAGTCTAGAACTAGAGCCGTTTGGGCTCACTGTTACCATAGAAAAAACAAATCGCGTGCTCCCCCCGCCCGGTGCACGGCGCCGTGTTACGACTCAGGAGCAGGAGCAGCAGCAGCAGCGGTTCCGGTTCCGGATTCCGTTTTCCTCATAGACATGGAGAGTTCCCTCCCAGGATGGTAACCACGGAAAGCCCAGCGAAGTTGAAGCTCTCCTCCTCTTGGCTGGGGCGGCCGTGCTCCTCGGTGAGGAACTTCAAGCAGGCCGACGTTTTCTGGGCCTTGGCAATGATGTACGGTGTCTGGCCCGTCCTAGTGGTGGCGTAGGGTTGGGGAGGGGGGAGGGGGTAGGGCCTTGTGCTCAAGTTTTGCCGACACACGCGTACTGGTATGGAGACCGATCATCATCGTACGAAAAAAGAGCAAGTGCGTCATAGAGAGATGAAGCGTAACAGTACGCAACGCTCAAGAGGTACTGCTGAAGGTCGAATACTGGCAGGATAAAAAATAATCCTGTATCCGCCCGGTATTCGGTGACCCTCCATCTCCCAAGCTGGTTTCACAGCCGATTCGTACCGCAACAAGGAAAACGGCAAGCAGCAAGAAAACGCGCCGAGGAGACGACCTATATCATGAGTTTCCCCCATCTACTCTCTAATTATTCCGTCGCCAAACACCTTATTGCAACTAAAACGCTTGAATGAATGTGCGAAAAAAATCCACAATCACCACACGTCAAGCAGGTCGTCTGCCGAATAAGCAAACACCACGAACAACAACACAGCGCGTGCGATTTTCCCACACCCCGGTGGCGGGGAGATAATAGTACACACAGCAGAACTCATAAGTCTTTCGCGTCAAGGCTCGCCCCAGCGGCAATGAGCTTCGCGATGCCCTTGTTGTTTTCCTGGCAGGCGAAGATGAGGGGCGTGGCGCCCAGGTTGTTGGTCAGCTCGAGGGTGGTCAGGCCGCGCTCGGTGCCGAGAATGGGGTCCAGACAAGCCTCCTTACCCAACCAGGTCGTTGCCGAAACGGAGCTCAGACCGCTGCTGTCTTGCAGAGATGGGTCGGACCCAGCAGCTAGAAGGAGCTGACCGTGCATGGGCATTTGCGGTGTACGGAACACAAGACGTGAGTCAGCCTGAGCACCCAGTGCACACAACAGGATATCACCACAAACCACCCCGACGCCCCCATGTGAGATATGAGCGGAGTGTCTTGCCATTTTCTAATCCGCGTTATGTCGGCCCAAAACCTTCTTGCCGGCGGGATCACTTTCCCTCAAGGGCCCGGTGTCAACAGCAACACACACCAAGCACAAAGCTTCACTGGTGTCTTCTCGCGCTCTCCGGTGGCGTGATCCACCTACGCTCGCGCGCTTACGCCCACGGCTGTTTTTTTATCGCCAGGCTCCTCCCTCACACACACCTTGACCACCTCGGCGTGGCCGTGGTGAGCAGCATCAAACGGAGGCGTCCTCCCGGAGTCGTCCCTGACGCTGACATCCCCGCCGCCACCGGACAGCCTTCCTCGAGCAAGGCCATGGCGGCCACGGACCCAGCGGCACCCTTTGCCCTGCAGGCGCTGTGGAGGGGTGTCGCGCCTTGACTGCCTTGGTATTGACGGCGACCTCCTCGCCCGGTCCGGCCAGCAGGGTCTTGAATTGAACACCTCTAGCCGCCCTGAGTAGATGGCCGTGTGCAGCGGCACCGTGCCGACCACCTGGATACCCGCCCGCCCCCACGTTGACCAAGAAAAAATGAAGGCAAGGGTCCCGTTTAGTTTGATGTTCACGGCAAAAACTCGTCATCACGGAGTACATATTTTGAGGGATGAAACCCTCACTTCATAACCGATGGTATTGGAAGTGCGACACAACGAGAGAAGGAGCCGTCGTGCCCCCCCTTACCTGAGACGAACCAGGCGTGGACAGCACAAGTTAGCCTACAAAGACTTGAGAATTAAGCATACCAGTCCCTTCGCACTCTCCCCCTCTACTCATTGGAGTCGAGAACCGACCACCGCACGCCGGTCGGACTCACCTCGTCCTTCTCCGTTTGATCCGCGCCGGCGACTAGGAGGGACTGGACGCACTTGGCAGCGCCACCCTCGTGCAGCTCGGGCGCGCCCGGTTGCCCGGTTCCCTGGGCAGCATGACTATCGGGGTGGCACCTTCCGGATTGGAAGCTTTGGGGTCTGCGCCAGCGACGAGGAGCTGCTTGTCGCCAGGGAGTCCGGAGTGGCCATGAAAAAGACGCGAAAGAGAAAAAAGAGACGTACAGAGTAAGCAACGGAAGCAGCAACGACACAATGTGGGAGGGGTTTAGGGAAGGCTCAGAAGGGTCAAGGGAGCTCCGCGCGACCTAAGAAAGGCTGTCACATTGGGGGGG